TGACAAAGTGCAGATGAGCATTTTCAGTGGTGAGCAAGTGATTTTTTTTTAAGCCCCTTTACCAATTTTTCCCCATTTTTTAAAAATCATTATTGAGGTAGTTATTAAAAATTAATAGCTGTGCTGCTTATCCTATATTTTTGCAATGTAAGCCTGACAGTCTCTGAAGAGAGAGTCTAAACACCAATTATTACTCCTTACCAGGCATAAGACTGAAGTGAGGAGATACAAGCTCTTTCTATAACCAAAATGTTACCGTTTGATCATGGCAAAACGAGGCCGTGTGTTCAAGACCATGCAGATCTCCTAAACAGAGTATCTTTTTCTTCTTTTGCAGTAATCAGTCCTGTAGTAATTAAACATAGGGAGCATTTGCAATCGTTATTATCTTCAGAGCTGATAACGGCTTGTGTGAGGCTGGAGTTGGTTGTACCAGTCTTATTTCAGACTATCTGCACATGCAGGCAAGTGATCCTGTTCAGCTAAGTGATATTTACAGTGGATTACTTTCTCATAGATGGAAATTTATATTGTATCCATGATCCTCCTCCACAACCACTTCTTTCCCACTTTGACTGTGCTATTTCTAACCTCTAATCTATCTCCTTCCATGCAATCCTGCATTCTCCCTACAGAAGAGCCAGGTGAGGCTGAAGAGGTGCTGGCTGGTCTCAGAGAATAAAGTTTCTCCTGCTGTAAGCCACATCAGCCCATTCAGTGATGCTTAAACTCCTCCATCAGGCAGATGTTATAAATCAGTAATATCCATATTTTATGGAGGAGAAAACTGAGGCAGTGAGTGGTTTGCTGGAGGCCAGATAAGGGCTTTGGGAACGTTAAAATGTCATTGTTCTTAGCCTTCTGCTTTCAGGTGTTGTGTATATAGGGATATGTTTTGAAATAGGAACACTTACTCCTGATCTTATCAAACTGACGTAGACACAGCACTTATCTCTTCATATTATTGTCTGTATAATAATTTCATTATCTACAGCTGATTAACCCCCAGCACTGTCTGAACTGCAGCTGACGTTATATGCAGGTCCGCAGAGTATTTCCATCTCTACCTGCTATTCTCCTGCACTAAGCAGATGAGTTTATTCACTTCTTAAATTCATCCCTGGACCCACCTTGGGGCAAGAAGTGAGAGAATTTACATGGTCTTCCAAGATCACTTCCAGCCCTGTTGTCTGGGTTTCTGTTACGGTGCTGGCATGCCAGCTCTTTGCATCTTTAAATAGGGAATGGAAACCCTGAAAAATTTAAACACAATTACACAGCTCTCTTGTCCTGCCTTTGAGGGTGGAATGAATGGCTGCAACATACAGACATAAAAAATAACACCTCATGTTTTGAGAGGTCCCATCCTGGGCTAATCCTCATACTGTTGCAGCTGACAGGGTGTAGCAATTTTAGTTTTTATGCAGTTAGTGCAGACACACTTGATTTTCTTACTACATGAAAGCGGCAGCATGTCTACCACTTGACCAGAAGTGTTGACCAGAAGTTTCCCACTGGAGTTACTTAATATCATCCTCCAGCAAAGGAAAATTTGTTTCCTTCAAAATTAATATTTTCAGGAGAAAAATGTCCACTACTGGAAAACATTGATTTTTCCATCAAAGTGGAGAACAAGCACAGGGCAGATTTCTATTTTAGAAGTATAGTCACTGCAGAAGAGCAAGAAGCAGTAGAATTTTACTTTTTCTAAAAATCTAATTTTAATGTTTGGGTTTTTTTTAAAAATATGGTTTCATCTTTTATCCTGCTGTGGATGGAAGGGGGAAGCAGGTGTTCTTCAGCTTCCTGTGTACCCTAGAGCATAGCTCCCAACCACTTGAGAAGCGCACATACAAATGCAAAGCAGGTGGGCAAAATGAAAAACATGAACAGAATTGCAAATGTACGGCAGGACCATGAACTGAAGGAATCCTGCAGAATCTCTCCTTGGAGGAGCAGCTCTCCTTGCAGATCTACTCCTGCAGAGGTTGGTTGGGGTGAAGGGGATTTTTTTGGTCTCTGTTTTTAATCCATTTCTTATGTCTCCGTGCTTACTTACTCCAGCAATTTGGGAAGGACGTCAGGGGAAAACTGCAAGACTGGGAGTGTAATAAAAGTAGGACACACAACAAAGCTGATACACGCTTCTTCTTTCAAGACCTGGATGTAAATGAGAAAAGGTTAACAACACTATCGCACGGCACTTGCGCAAGCTTGACAAAGCTTGGCTCCGCTAGCGAAAATTCAAGGTGTCAGTTTTTTGAGTTTGTGGCACCTTTTTGAGAGTTCAGGAAGTGCAGAGTCAAGTTGCACTTCTCAAAACAGCACCCAGATTTAACTCCTTGCCCACACAGACGCCAACCCACAGGTCTGGCTTCTCTTTGGGTAAATTGCTTTGCCAAGGCAAAACAAACATACAGGCACAAGGCCTCTTACAAAGTCCTCATAAATATCAGCTACCTAAATAATCCATTGGGAATTAGGACAACAAATGCTTTATATTTCTGGATGTGACTACACAAGTGTGGGGCAGGAGGGGGAACCTGGCACGCAGGGGAAGAAAATCCACAGATGAACAGCAGATCGCTGTAGAGCCTTGTGTTCTTTCTCCTACGTCTCTACTGCAAAGAACAGCAATTTACAGATGGAGGAGGAGGGGAAGGTGGAAGATGAAGTCTGTGTGTTACCTGGCTGTTTGGTTTTAGTCCTAGGTGGTAAGATGGGAGAAACAGAGGAGAATGGGAAAGATTTTAGGGCAGTTGGAGACATTTATGTTCATATTCTGAGTGATATGCTGACATTTGGCTCCAGTCTCCTGCAGTTTGGTTGCTGTGGCTTCTCTCCCACTCCATGACCCTGGGTAACTGATCAGCAATTTGTTGATGAGATGCAGCTGCTGTGCAGGGCTCCTGAACCAAGGAAAAGGATATGCTTGGAGCCATGTCCCTGCAGCAGGTGAGCTGATGTGGTGGGGACTGGATACCCGAGACACCAGCAACGCTGTTAATGGTTTCATCTGCATGATCAAGCCTGGTACGTGGATGTTTCCTGCAGGTTCTGCTGCTGCCTCCATGTGGGCACAGTTATTTTGGAAGCTTTAAAATAAAGATTTTAAGGAATGCGTCTTACCCTAGCTCCCACCCTGAGAGAGCAGAAATCTGGGGTAGACAGCGGAGAAGTGGTAGAGAAGGGCTGCACTCTCCTGGGTGAAGCAAGTGGGAATCAAGCGATTCAGGCTGTAGTTTCAGCCTTGCACTGATTTCTTTTTGTCATCTTTGGCAAATCACTTCACCTTTCTGTGCTTCTGTTTCTGCTGTCTTACCTACTAGTAAATTTTGCAGAGCCGCCATTGACAGGATGACCCAGCAAAACTGGGGAGTTCAACCATAATACAAATAGCTAAGAAATGCCAGCCCTTACGGAGAGGCCGGGAGGCCTGGCTCCCTGCTCCGCGTTGCACGTGTGACATGCTGTTTCCAGGAGGTAATATCATCAATGACATAATTACCAATGAACTCACTCTGGTCCTGGTGACTCTGGAAGAGCAGCTCACTTAGCCCTGGGACCTGAGTGGACTCTGCTGCCGTCTGGGACCCAGGAAAAACAGTCCCACCACATTTTTGGCACATAAGTTGCCCCACTTCTACCCCTCCCCAGTGCTCTCTCCAGTCTGCTCCAGCACACCCCAAACCTCTCTTTGCCACAGCAACTCCCCCAAACACATTCTCACCCAGCTCCTGCACCCCATCCCACGGCTGCACGGTGGCCGTCCCAGCCTGTCCTTTCCCTCCATGCTGAGCCCCCTCCCCAGCTCTCCTCAATCCCTGGACCCCCAGCCCTACCTCCCCGCAAAACACCCTGTGTCCCCAGGTCACCTTCCCAGCATCTCCCCGTGTCCTACACCAGTTTCATGGGCCCCTCCAGCCTCCCCTACCTGCTGTCAGCACCCTGGTTTCTTTGCACCAGTGCCACCACTACCCCCTCCCCCCCCACACACACCAGTGATCCCAGTATCCCTTCCCACACTCCAGTTCCCCCAAAGACCGCTTTCTCACATGGACCAGTACCCCTTCCCCACGCACCAGATGCCACCTGCCCACACACACCAGTGCCCCAGTACCACATTTGCATACACCAATGCTCCCAATATCCCCCTCCCACCACACACCAGTACCTTCCTCCCCACATACACCAGTCCCCCCAGTACCAATTCCCCCCATACAGCAGTGTCCTCCTTGTCTCATCAGTACCTGATCCCTACACAAACCAGTGTCCTCAGAACCCCCTCCCCACATATACCAGTGCCTCCAGTCTCCCCAAACACCAGTGCCCCAGTACCCATTCCCCCACACAGCAGTGTCCCCAGTACCCATTCCCCCACACAGCAGTGTCCCCAGTACCCCCTCCCCACATATACCAGTACATTCACTACCCCTCCCACCACACCAGTGTCCCCAGTATCCCCTTCCACCCCCAGTCCCCCAAGTACCCTTCCCTACATATACCAGTGCCCCCAGTACCCCTCCCCCCATACACCAGTACTTCCAGCAATCCCAGTCTCCCCCCCAGTACCCCCTCCCCCATACACCAGTACTTCCAGCAATCCCAGTCTCCCCCCCCCACACCCAGTACCCGCAGTACGCCCTCTCCGCACACACCAGTACCTCCACTACCCCTTCTCCTCCAACCAGTACTCCCCTCCCTCTGTACACCAGTACTTCCAGCAATCCCAGTCTCCCCCCCAGTACCCCCTCCCCCCATACACCAGTACTTCCAGCAAT